CACGGGGGGACCTAGTGAATGACCTGCAGAGAGCTGGGACCAAAGTAACAAAGCCTACCATCAGTAACACACTACGCCGCCAGGGACTCAAATCCTGCAGTGCCAGACGTGTCCCCCTGCTTAAGCCAGTACATGTCCAGGCCCGTCTGAAGTTTGCTAGAGTGCATTTGGATGATCCAGAAGAGGATTGGGAGAATGTCATATGGTCAGATGAAACCAAAATATAACTTTTTGGTAAAAACTCAACTCGTCGTGTTTGGAGGACAAAGAATGCTGAGTTGCATCCAAAGAACACCATACCTACTGTGAAGCATGGGGGTGGAAACATCATGCTTTGGGGCTGTTTTTCTGCAAAGGGACCAGGACGACTGATCCGTGTAAAGGAAAGAATGAATGGGGCCATGTATCGTGAGATTTTGAGTGAAAACCTCCTTCCATCAGCAAGGGCATTGAAGATGAAACGTGGCTGGGTCTTTCAGCATGACAATGATCCCAAACACACCGCCCAGGCAACAAAGGAGTGGCTTCGTAAGAAGCATTTCAAGGTCCTGGAGTGGCCTAGCCAGTCTCCAGATCTCAACCCCATAGAAAATCTTTGGAGGGAGTTGAAAGTCCGTGTTGCCCAGCGACAGCCCCAAAACATCACTGCTCTAGAGGAGATCTGCATGGAGGAATGGGCCAAAATAGTGTGTGAAAACCTTGTGAAGACTTACAGAAAACGTTTGACCTGTGTCATTGCCAACAAAGGGTATATAACAAAGTATTGAGAAACTTTTGTTATTGACCAAATACTTATTTTCCACCATAATTTGCAAATAAATTCATTACAAATCCTACAATGTGATTTTCTGGATTTCTTTTCTTCTCATTTTGTCTGTCATAGTTGACGTGTACCTATGATGAAAATTACAGGCCTCTCTCATCTTTTTAAGTGGGAGAACTTGCGCAATTGGTGGCTGACTAAATACTATTTTTCCCCACTGTATGTAAACTTCTGACCCACTGGGAATGTGATGAAAGAAATAAAAGCTGAAGTAAACCGTTCTCTACTATTATGCTGACATTTCACATTCTTAAAATAAAGTGCCGATCCTAACTGACCTAAAACAGGGAATTTTAACACGGATTAAATGTCAGGAATTGTGAACAACTGAGTTTAAATGTATTTGGCTAAGGTGTATGTAAACTTTCAACTTCAACTGTATACACCTGTTCTGAAAGGCCCAGAGTCTGCAACACCACTAAGCAAGGGGCACCACAAAGGAAGCGGCACCATGAAGACCAAGGAGCTCTCCAAACAGGTCAGGGACAAAGTTGTGGAGAAGTACAGATCAGAGTTGGGTTATAAAAAATTATCCATAACTTTGAACATAACACGGAGCACCATTAAATCCATTATTAAAATGTTTTAAAGAATATGGCACCACAACAAACCTGCCGAGAGGGCTGCCCACCAAAACCCACGGACCTGGCAAGGAGGGCATTAATCGGAGAGGCAACAAAGAGACCAAAGATAACCCTGAAGGAGCTGCAAAGCTCCACAGTGGAGATTGGAGTATCTGTCCATAGGACCACTTTAAGCCATACACTCCACAGAGCTGGGCTTTACGGAAGAGTGGTCAGAAAAAAGCCATTGTTAAAAGAAATAAATAAGGCAACTCGTTTGGTGTTCCCCAAAAGGCATGTGGAAGAAGGTACTCTGGTCAGATGAGTCTTCAAATAGCCACCCTTTGCCTTGATGACAGCTTTGCACACTCTTGGCATTCTCACAACCAGCTTCACCTGGAATGCTTTTCCAACAGTCTTGAAGGAGTTCCCACATATGCTGAGCACTTGTTGGCTGCTTTTCCTTCACTCTGCGGTCAGACTCATCCCAAACCATCTCAACTTGGTTGAGGTCGGAGGATTGTGGAGGCCAGGTCATCTGATGCAGCACTCCATCACTCTCCTTCTTGGTAAAATAGCCCTTACACAGCCTGGAGGTGTGTTGGGTCATTGTCCTGTTGAAAAACAAATTATAGTCCCTTCTAAGCCCAAACCAGATGGGATGGTGTATCGCTGCAGTATGCTGTGGTAGCTATGCTGGTTAAGTGTGCCTTGAATTCTAACTAAATCACAGACAGTGTCACCAGCAATGCATTCCCACACCATAACACCACCTCCTCCATGCTTTATGGCGGGAAATATACATGCGGAGATCATCCGTTCACCCACACCGCGTCTCACAAAGACATGGCGTCTCACAAAGACACAGCGGTTGGAACCAATAATCTCCAATTTGGACTCCAGACCAAAGGGCAAATTTCCACCGGTCTTATATCCATTGCTCGTGTTTCTTGGCCCAAGCAAGTCTCTTCCTTTTTATTGGTGTCCTTTTATTATTGGTTTCTTTTCAGCAATTTGACCATGAAGGCCTGATTCACACAGTCTCCTCTGAACAGTTGATATTGAGATGTGTCTTTTACTTTAACTCTGAAGCATTTATTTGGGCTGCAATTTGAGGCTGGTAACTCTAATGAACGTATCCTCTGCAGCAGAGGTAACTCTGGGTCTTCTATTCCTGTGGTGGTCCTCATGAGAGCTAGTTTCACCATAGCGCTTGATGGTTTTTGCGACTGCAGTTGAAGAAACTTTCAAAGTTCTTGAAATGTTCCGTATTGACTGACCTTCATGTCTTAAAGTAATGATGGACTGTCGTTTCTCTTTGCTTATTTGAGCTGTTTCTGCCATAATATGGACTTGGTCTTTTACCAAATAGGGCTATCTTCTGTATACCACCCCTACCTTGTCACAACACAACTGATTGGCTGAAACACATTAAGAAGGAAATAAACACACTTGTTAATTAAAATGCATTCCAAGTGACTACCTCCATGAAGATGGCTGAGAGAATGCAAAGCTGTCAAGGGTGGCTACTTTGAAGAATCTCAAATATATAATATATATTGATTTGTTTAATACATTTTTGGTTAATACATGAGTCCATATGTGTTATTTCATAGTTTTTATGTCTTCTCTATTATTCTACAATGTAGAAAATAGTAAAAATTAAGAAAACCCCTTACTAAGTTACAGTTCATAGAAGTAAATCAGTCAATTGAAATCAATTCAGTAGGCCCTAATCTATGGATTTCACATGACTGGGCAGGGGCGCAGCCACTTGGGAGCTCGGTCCACCTACTCGGGAGCCAGGACCAGACAATCAGAATGAGTTTTTCCCCGGAAAAGGGCTTTATTACAGACAGAAATACTCCTCAGCATCCCCCCTCCTCAGGCAATCCCGCAGGGAAAGAAGCCGGATGTGGAGGTCCTGGGCTGGTGTGGTTACACATGGTGTGCAGTTATGAGGCGGTTTGGACGTACTTCCAAACTCTCTAAAATGATGTTGGAGGTGGCTTATGGTTGAGAAATAAACATTACATTCTCTTGCAACAGCTCTGTTAGACATTCCTGCAGTCGTCATGCCAATTGAATGCCCTTCAAAACTTGAGACATCTGTGGCATTGTATTGTGTGACAAAACTGCACATTTTAGAATGGCCTTTTTATTTTCCCCAGCACAAGGTGCACCTGTGTAATGATGGTGCTGTTTAATCAGCTTCTTGATATGCTACACCTGTCAGGTAGATGGATTATCTTGGCAAAGGTGAGATGCTCACTAACGGGGATGTAAACAAATTTGTGCACACAATTTGAAAGCAATAAGCTTTTTGTGCGTATGGAACATTTCTGGGAACTTTTACAGTATTTCAGCTCATGGAAAATGGGAACAACACTTTACATGTTGCATTTATATTTTTGTTCTGTGTGTGTGTGTATATGTACGTGAGGCACCATTTTCTCAAACTAGACACTATAATGTATTTGTCCTCTTGCTCAGTTGTGCACCGGGGCCTCCCACTCCTCTTTCTGTTCTGGTTAGAGCCGGTTTGCGCTGTTCTGTGAAGGGAGTAGTATACAGCGTTGTACGAGATCTTCAGTTTCTTGGCAATTTCTCACATGGAATAGCATTCATTTCTCAGAACAAGAATAGACTGACGAGTTTCAGAAGAAAGTTATTTGTTTCTGGCCATTTTGAGCCTGTAATCGAACCCACAATTGCTAATGCTCCAGATACTCAACTAGTCTCAAGAAGGCCAGTTTTATTGCTTCTTTAATCAGCAGAACAGTTTTCAGCTGTGCTAACATAATTGCAAAAGGGTTTTCTAATGATCAATTAGCCTTTTTAAATGATATATCTATATCACACACACACCTCTCCTGAGTTTGGCGTGTGTCCCTCTGTGGTGCCAGGTGGATGACCTTGCTGTTCCCGTCAGCATGTTTTCTGACCCCGCTCATGGCACGTGGTCTTTTAAAAATAGATGTATTTGAATCAGACAGGCCCACATGGTAACCTTCACTGTGACTGTCAGTGCTTTGATTTTATTTAAAGCCTGCTGTGTGCTGCAGTGGGGGGTACTCTGAGACCACATGGGAGACTGTCTGTCTGTCTGTCTGTGTCATGGATCAGGTGGTATCTGGTCACTCCATGTTATTGATCCACTTCTGGTGTTTCACTGTATTCTAATGAGGGATTGCAGTTTTAGTGTTGGGGTGCCATTATGTGCTTAACGTGTGAACAAATACATGACAGGGATTTTTTGGCCATTGAAATACTTGGGCGGGCCGCCTAAGCGTTCTGTCAGGCTGACTAATTCCAGTGTTTTTAATTGTAAAAAAAAATTGGGATGCAATAAATGGACTAAAAGCAGATAGATTATGTACCCCCATGCCACACCCCTGACACGCCCACCACCTAAGCCCCTTTTGATCCAGATTAAAACCCTGCATGACACGAAATGAATGAAAAATGATATAGCCCACATGAAACATTTTATTTGATCTTTTTGAAATGTGTTATTTTAGGGATAGCCTAGCCGGATGACTTGCCCCGTTTGGATGATATGACATAATGGACTGAATTGTCCCTCTTCTCTGTCTCTCTTTGTGGAACGACAGAAGGAGAAAAGGTTCTCGTCGCCCGGGGCGAAACGCCCCGCCTCGCCCTCCAACATCGCGGGACGCCACCGCTCGCCCTCCCCCGCCTCCCTCCCCGCCAGCAAGAGAACCCCCTCCCCCGCTCCCCTCCCCGCCAGCAAGAGAACCCCCTCCCCCAGTGCAGCAAAGTAAGACACCACATCTCTCGCTCAGAAAAACAATATTCAATATTTCCTGTGTTTAATTGTGTACTGTTGAAATTGCTTAGCTGTGTTGGATAATTTATAAAACCGTCAGAAATCTTGTCTCCCCTTTACAGGCAAAGCCCCCGTAACCGTCCCCCGTCACCCGGGGGTATCAAACATCGCCCCTCATCCCCTCAGTTTAGCTCAGCCAAGCCCCAGCCCATCTCGGCCAAACCTCCACCCATCCAGAGACCGGCCCTTGCCCCCACCGCCCCCCCCACCCTGCGTAAGAGGGACTCCAAGCCAAAGGACCTGTATCCCGTCCAGCCTGTGGCGCCCCAGTCCCCAGAGGCCCCCCAGACCAGCACAACACCCACCCCTACTCATACCACCTCCAGTAAGACCAAAGATAAAGACAAGGACGGTGAGTGAAGAGGACCTCCAACCTCACATACGTCAACCTCCCTGAGATCACCTTTCTCTCTGGGCTGAGTTAGCTATTTCCTTCTGTTAGTACCAGTCATGACATAGGGCTAAAATCTCACTTGCATAAGGACTTTGCCGCGCTCAGATTAAGCAGGAAAAAACACCAACGGTCACATAGTCTTGAGACTCAATTCCATCTGATAATGAGAGCGAGGGCCTGTACTTTGAGTCCCTGAAGCAGTGGATTGGAAACCCTGTACTGTATTATTCAGTTCCCATAAAGAGCATCAGTTTGGCTCAGATAGAGTAGCCTCTGCTCTGTCCTCTATCCTGATGTATCTAAACGATCTATGGCTTAATTCCTTAGTTTCACCACAGTGTGTTAGTGGGTTCCTCTGCGGTTCATTAGCAAGTGAAACTGACTTGGGAGCACAGGCAGCAGCAGAAACGTAGTGTGTAGCTAGCTGTAGATTATCTGTGGACCAGCACAGCCATTAACTCCCTCCCATCTGTAGTTACATCCTGTTAGCCCTAGAGATGTCTAGTGCTCCCTGCTGGTGAGAGTCCTGTACTACTAGTGTAGAACTCATTAGGAGATGGTTAATGGATAGTGTGTGTGCTGCAGGGACTCAATGCTATCAATAGGACTCGGTCTGCAGTAGGAGACACAGAGAGCTCTTTATGACCAGCAGCCACAGAGACTGTCATTTGAAATCGTTTCCCACACTTTGTTTCTCTCTTGCTCCCTTCTTTCTCTCTATATTTTTCATTGATCTCCCTCTCTCAACCTATAGTTCTCATTCTCCTCTCAATGTGCTCTATAGTAGTTGAGTTGTATATGGAGTGTTTGGTGCTATCCTGTATCTTTGTTGGCTATGCCTTGAAACTTGGTTATTATGTCTTAACTTAGGTATTTAGTGAACCAATATATTAGCTTAGATTGGTCAAACTAAACTCCTGAGTGTCTCCTCTCTGGCTCTCAGACAAGTCCATGGCAGGCACCAACTCAGCTGCAGAGGCTGCCATGATCCTGGCCGAGAACCGTCGTCTGGCGAGGGAGAAGAAGGAGAGAGAGGAGGCACTCCGAGTACTACGGGAGGAGGAGGAGAAGTGAGGAACCAGACGATGCTACTATAATCTCTCTCTCTCTCTCTGTGGGGTGAAATTGACCGACCTTATCTTGTTATCTACAGGCTGAGGAAGGAGGAGGAGAAACGCTTGGCCGAGGAGGCTCGATTGAAACGCCTGGAGGAGGAGAAGAGGCTGGCGGAGGAGAGGAAGAAGAAAGAGGAAGAGGACGCTCTTATGGCGGAGGAAGACAGAGAAAGACTGGAGGTAGAGGAGGCCGTGAGACAGGCTGAGCTACAGAAAGAGGTACAGACAAATACATTTTTACAGTCTTGTGTTGATGGTCTAATTGATTGGTTGCTTGTGTGATTGACAACCTGTTTGTCCAATTGCAGCGTGAAGAGGCGGAGGCACAGGCTGCAATTGAGGCAGAGAAGGTCCGCATTGAGAGAGAGAGGGTCATGGCCCAGAACCAACAGGAACGCATGGAGAGGAAGAAGGTGGGTGAAGAATCACCATTTCAGCTTATCATACACACTGCATGTTCTCAGTAACATGTTCATCATACACATTCAGTGTGCACACTCAGTGAAAATACCCCCTACATCCACTCCCTATATACCAACACTTGAATTTTTAAAGCAGTCCAATCAAATCGACCATGTCATTAACTTGTACTACATTGAGTTTGTCTGCAGGGTGTAATTTGCCAGCAATTATTGACATGAACCTTCCTGTCGCTCTTTAACTTGTAGCGAATTGAGGAGATCATGAAGAGAACCAGAAAAGGGGACCAAGAAAAAGTGAGTTCACATTTCTCAAGAAATCCCATGGCAACAGGGATTTCTCCAATACTTAGTCAGTCACCTTAGATAAGAACACCCAGTAGTCCTTGCACATACTTGTTGATAGATATTTTACCTTGTACATATTTTGACCTGTGTCCTGTGTAGAGAGATTATGATGAGAAAGACATGCAGGATGAGGAGGGAGACGAGGAGGGTGACGAAGAAGAAACCAAGGGTAATTGTCCACCATCCGTGTGTGTACACTGTGTGAATGGCCTGTCTGTTTGCACGGACACCACTCCCTCTGTGTGCGTGTGCAAATTGAGTCATCTGCCATCTGCTTGTTTGTCTCCGCAGACGACGAGTCAGCCCAGACCGGAGATGTCGCCATGGAGATGGACGGCATGGACGAGGAGGGGCGTGGCCTGACCCGCAGCGAGCCAATGGGAGAGCGTAGGGAGCCGCTGGGCAGCGTGAACTGGAAGCCAGAGGCGGACGACAAGGAGAACAACAACGGAACCAGCGCTGAGGAGCCCCTGGCTGTTAGGTATGGCACAACCACACACACTCCCAAATACTTGAAGCACAATGTCATTGATATAGGACTATTTTGGCTATAGGCGTCTCTCATTCACTTACTCATTCAATGCCTTCCTTATACTCTGACTGGCTCTCTCTCTCCAGTCCAGTGCCTAAGGGTCGTCTGGTAGAAGGCTCAGAGTTCCTGAATGAGGACTCTAACAAGCTGGCCCCGGGGCTCAACGGTAAGCCTGGCCCCTGGAGCTTCGAGGAGCTCATTGACCTGGGCGTCAACTCCAAGGGCCGGCCCCTCATCGATGCAGAGGGCCGCAACCAGGGCCTCATCGACTGTGACGGGGGACCCGAGGGGCCCAGGGTGGCCTTCGAGGACAAGGGCACCCCCGTGGCCACCCTCCACCCCTCCTGCCAGCCTATCGAAGCCCTGTCAGGTGAGAGAAAAGTACTTTGGCAACTAAACTGTTGTATAGTTGATTTACTGTTACTGTACTGCACATGTTGTATAGAAAAGTAAATAGCTTTGTGTATATCCTATAGTCAGTTACACATTTGTTCTCTCTTTCCCCCTCTTTCTCTCTCTGTAGAGATGTGAGGCTGCAGCTTTCCCTCAGAGGCCTGTTCAAATTGCACTCCTGGAGTTCCTGTCCAGCTGAGCTCCAGACCAGACCCCCCCCTCCTCCACACACACACACACACCTACCCACATACACACACCCCGCCCAGCTTCTTGTCTGGACCACCTCAGCCAGAGGAAGAGCACGGGGACACACACACACCCTGAACGCTAGCTTTGCACCCCCCACAGGAAAAAAAAAAAGTTTTAAAATACAAAAAAAAAACGATGCTTCAGGGAAAATCTCAATTTTCCTTCAATGTGCTCGCTTCAAGGTCTCATCTTTATCCTCCTGTACTTATACCATTTGACTTGGTGCTTTTTTATTTCGTTTTGCTCACACTTTGTTTTGTAGGTGTTGGGGCAGGGGGTGCGACGTTGTTGTAATTTATACATTTGGGCTTCTTCGTAATATGTAATTACTGTTATCTCGTGTCTAGTTTTTTTTGGTTACTCTGGTTTGAGAATATTTCAGGATGCATGTACACTCGTATGTACTCTCGTATACACTCGTATGTATACTACTTCTCATGTCATGAGTGAGTCAGGAAACTTGAGTTATGTGTGATCAAACACATTTTGATTGGTGGGGAGTGGGCTGAGGGCCCTGGGTACTGTAGTCTATCAGGGTCTGCCTACAGGGCCATCTCCAGTGGATACAGGCTGAGGGAGCAGTTACACAAACCTAGGTTATGATCTGCTGCGTGCCCAAGCCGTGAGCAGCACTATGTAACTGTAATCCCATCCTACCCAAATTGTAATCTGACCTAGAATTCTGGATTTGTCTGGCTAGCTGCTTTTCCCAGCATCCGTAGACCCAGCCTTAAAACTCTCTAGACCCTATTCTCCCATGGTTTACTCCTCTCGCCGTGCCCCAAAGGGCTGGTCAGAGCCTCCCTCTCCCACCTCCCTCACTTCGACCCTTCTCCTTAGGGCCACTAGGGGGCACTTATGTCTACAAATCAAACTGATGGTTTTACGAAATGACTGTTGACTACTGCTTTGTCTTTACAAACTGATGGATGTAGGAATTCAAAAATATATTTGTTCAGTGAATTTTAACTGTTGCTGTTAACTTTCAGTTCCTGGTCTTTAGGTTTATCCTAATATTTTGACGTGTCGTTATGGTTTTACATGTATATAGACTTAATTGTTAGCTAACTCATATCAAATTATAATTTAATTGCATCCTGAGTGCTGATGTATAACTTGAACCCCAGCAATGACTGCATGAATCTATACTCTTACCATATGAATAACTATAGCCCATAACGGATTAAAGTGTGTGTATGTTGGTTAATTGCAGTCAGTTAAGGTCCATCAGTTTCATTTTAGAATTGCTTCAGAGTTTTCTCTGAAGGGTGTGTATGTGTGTACAGTACTAGTCCAGAAACTGAACTTGAATGGTTTGAAGTTCTCTCTTACAACGCCCAAAGTATAGGGCTGAAACAACAGTTGTCAGGCATCTCAGAGCAGTTTTGACCCGGCAGTAGATGTATGCGGTCTCCTCTCTCTCTGTGTAGCTTGTTCCATACTAATTCCATTGCTTCTCTACTAAGGCCCTATGATCTCCAAAACACACTAGCTAATGCTTTTATACATTCTCCCTCCTCGCAAAAAAAAACTATATAATTTGGCTGTCTGTTTATATATATATATATGAAAATATATTTCTACATATTTAAGTGTTATTGTACCGTGTATATAATCAGTATTATGCCAATGTGGGTGGGGTGGTGTAGTGGGAATGGATGTTAATAATAGTCTCGTTATCTGTTACTGTATTTTAGTTTGGGTTCTGTTTGACTCGTGCCCTTTGGCAGGGTAGTCAGTGCTGTTGCCCTACGCTCTGTTCCAAGTCATGCCCTAGTCCCTACCCTCTAGACACTAGATTGGATCGGTGTAAGCAATCTGGCAACAATTCCACAAGGAGACGCTATTTATATTGCTTATACATATCAAGTACTTACAGATCACCTCAAGTGCAAAGGGATAGGGGCTAAGGGTTGGTGTGGAATTGAGCAATTGAGTCAGGTTTGTTTGGGCGTGTTACCCTGGGCGCTATAGGAAACTCTCTTCTCCAGTACTCTACAAGCCCTAGGGGACAACACATGGGATCCTCATACTGTTGAGGGAACATGGGTGTGTCTGTGTATGTTGATTGAGGGCATTTTGTGAGGCTCTGAAAAGTTCTGCTTTTCATCCCCCAACCACCTCCGACAATTGTCTTGGTTCTCAACTGAGGGGTGGACTGAGGAGTGGGAGAAGCAGAAATGTTTCAGTGCTTTTTAACATGGTGTGAAAGGTTGCAATGGTGGTGTTTTGAAGGTTGCAATAGAAAAGTTAACATGGACTCTGACCACTGCGCCACACACCTCTCTTTGTAGCAGCAGTGTGACTGAGTCTACCACTGAATGATGGAGATGGGAACAATGTGATTTGGTCAGTCTTGTTCTTGTCCGTGCTAGTCTCGTTCTGTCTCGTTTATGTTAATTTTTTTTAAGCTGTGTCGAGAAGCTTGAATTCCCTATGCTTGAATTGTCCAAACAGAGGTTTGGGGACCTTATTTTTTGCCTCATAATAAGCCTGTTGGCTGATTGTCGTGCTAATAAACCAGAAGGTTTCTCTGAAATGGCTTTATATTATACATACCTAATGTCTAGACTTGGAGGCCCATGAGCTTAGCTTTGACTTCTAGGCATAAAGAATGTAACTTTGACTAAACAAACAAGCCCTTAATCATTTAACATGCATCTCTCTGTCAGAGGAGAAACCTTTTTTAGTTTTCATGTGCAAACCTTTTTATTATTCATCACAACATGCACTGTGGGAGGTTTTCCACTTTTTTAAGGGTTGAAAAGCTTTCTGAAATGAATTACGTTTGTAGATTGGGGTGACTTATCACCAAGAAGTAGCTTTACTGTATAGTCCTGTTAGAGAGAGGTGTGGTATTCTTGAAGGAAATAAGTTGTTTTTCTACCCTCTCCTGTCTCTTCCCATCCAGGCCTTTTATGAACTTCCCTCCTTGACTTGACAAACCTTCATCCATTCAAAGTGCAGGGTATTGCTGTAGACTTGTTCAAAATGAAACACAAGGTGGTTCCTTGGTCAGCGCTACATGTGCTTAGGTAATGGCAGTGGCACATCCAGTCACAGATAGACAGAGCCAATACATGGCTGTCCTGCTCTTATACTAGACTAATGTCAAAGTCCTGTTATGTTTTTTTTTTTTATCCCTTTCTGCATCTCAGTGGGCTTGAATACAGAGCTAACTGTTCTTAATGATCTCATGACAGTCAGTTGTGATGACGGTAGGATAGAACGGTGCCTTAGATTGCTATAATAATTAAAAACTATAAAACGCATCACATGTCCTTACCTTGGCCATGACAATCATTCTACCCGACCAGGGCTACAGTGTGAATATGAATTGGTTTCTGGAGGCTTTTCAGACCCTAACCCAAGCCCTGTCCACAAATTATATTTGTAAATATATCTAAAGTGTACTGAGAAGATATGAACTGTTAAAAAATAAAGTTTTGCTAAATAAAAAGGTGTTTGTCATTTCTGTCTAGCAGAGGGAAATAAACACAGAATTTTGGCGCTTGCCTTTATTGATCCATAATGTGCATTCACATCCCAAACTCCACTTCAAAAAGCTGAGTACATGATTAGACTACTATCTCTGAGCATAACACCGTTTGATACCTACAAAGAAAGACCTAGTTTGTCCATACTGATTATTGAAGCCCTATACGTGAAACCCTCATATATATATATATATGTGTGTATATATACACACACACACTACCGTTCAAAAGTTTGGTCACTTAGAAATGTCCTTGTTTTCGAAAGAAAAGCTTTTTTTGTCCATTTAAAATAACATCAAATTAATCAGAAATACAGTGTAGACATTGTTAATGTTGTAAATGGCTATTGTAGCTGGAAACGGCTTATTTTTTTATGGAATATCTACATAGGTGTACTGAGGCCCATTATCAGCAACCATCAGTCCTGTGTTCCAATGGCACGTTGTGTTTGCTAATCCAAGTTTATCATTTTAAAAGGCTAATTGATCATTAGAAAACCCTTTTGCAATTATGTTAGCACAGCTGAAAACTGGCTCTAACCAGACTAGAAAGAGGAGTGGGAGGCCCCGGTGCACAACTGAGCAAGAGGACAAATGCATTAGAATCGAACCCACAATTGCTGATGCTCCAGATACTCCGCTAGTCTCAAGAAGGCCAGTTTTATTGCTTCTTTAATCAGCACAACAGTTTTCAGCTGTGCTAACATAATTGCAAAAGGGTTTTCTAATGATCAATTAGCCTTTTAAAATGATAAACTTGGATTAGCAAACACAACGTGCCATTGGAACACAGGACTGATGGTTGCTGATAATGGGCCTCTGTACGCCTATGTAGATATTCCATTAAAAATCATCAGTTTCCAGCTACAATAGCCATTTACAACATTAACAATGTCTACACTGTATTTCTGATAAATTTGATGTTATTTTAATGGACAAGAAAATTGCTTTTCTTTTGAAAACAAGGACATTTCTAAGTGACCCCAAACTTTTGAACAGTTGTGTGTGTGTGTGTGTATATATATATATATATATCAACTTTTCAAACATCACTTTAGAGATACCATGACCGATTACTTAGCTAGTATATGATTCAAGAAGCAGGTAACATGTAATTACCATATTAGTATTTTCAAATGACTGTTTCAGTAAGCCACTGAAAAGGGCATTCCCTAATGACTATGAAGAGTTCTGAATTTGACCCAAGCTTTTTAGTATTATATTGCATGCCCAAAAAAAGCAAACCACTTGGTGTGTTAGTTCTCAACAATAACAGAAAACAGTGGAACAAGATTCATATTCAACTGCTGTTAGAATTCATTCAGGTGATTAACCTAATACATGCTTTCTCTCTGTAGTTTTAACCCCTTGATTGGCACTTAATTTGAGTTAGTTGGCTTATCCTGTTTATGTTCTGCCCCCAACATGAATGAGACAGGTCACTTATTTGGCCATATTGCTGGCTGTGCTCACAGCTTCTTAGCACAGTCAGGGCAGTAGATGTCCTCTCCGTTGATGACAAAGCGCTTGTTGGCCAGGGAGAGGGAGCATTTCTTGCAATTGAAGCAGTACTCGTGCCAGGAGTGACCCTCGTAGTTCACCACGTTGGTCCCATGGCCAAACCCTGTATTATGTGCGATAGTATGTGCAGCAGTCAGCATAGTAATGGGTCAGATCTATTATAACCAGTTTACAGCCATAACATCTTATCAATGCCACTGAATCTCACTAAAAACATTCCATCCTACACATAATGAAGTCCTTAATTTATTATCATAAAAACAGTCTGTCCATACAATAAATATAAGGCATAAATGTTCATGTAAAGTGTGGGTGTCTGACCTGTGATGGGATTCTTGCAGCTGTTGCACTGCTTGGCCACGGAGGTCTTGTAGCAGTCCACACAGTAGACATGCTCCTCATGGGAGGTGAAGCGGGTTCCGGCCAGGCCCTTACCGCAAGTACGACACACGAAGCACTCGGAGTGCCATGGCTGGTCCTGGTAGCTTATACCACCTGAGGTGATGGGCTGAGGTGAGGGGAGAGAAACACCACCATGTTATTCTATATGAATAACATAAATAATTTCCTATAACTTGTACCTTATGTAGGTATACTTGAGTATAAGAATGCTATAATTAGGCCTACTGTAATTACACTGTAATAACATGGCAGGAAAGAATTAAGCAAAATTCACAACAGAATGAAATATATATTGTTCTGTTTGTGGGTTTGTGAAGGGACAGATCTTATGCACCTGCTTGCAGTGGAAGCATTTCTTGGCAAATTTCTTCTCGTGGCATGGGCAGCAGTATATGTCATCGCCCTTGTTCAGGAAGCTCTGCGAGCCGATTGGCTGCTTGCATTCGAAGCAGGTGAAGCACTCCTCATGCCACACCTTGTTCTTATACTCCACGTTCTGGGTGCCTGGCAGTCAAAGATAGAATACATTAGAATACAGACACTTGTTTCACACAGTGGGTGAGTTCGTAAATTCACTCTGGCTATCTACTCCGATTTCAGAGCACTCTTGTCTGAGTGTGCCAGAGCGCAGAATCTCTGATGCATTTACGAATGTGCAACACCCGTTGAATTTGACCGGTATCAGTAAGCGTCGGCAAAAACACGTAATTCAATTGTTGCCAGCAGCACAACTATTACATGTTGACCACACCGCACGCGTCGCGTCGCGTGAGCGAGCGTTGCGAAATAAATGTACACATGTTATTCAATCATTGCACCCTCACTGCTCGCGCGCGTCAACGAGCGTCTGCGTGAACAGGCGCTAAAATAGCACTCGGTTCTATTTGTGACGCTCAAGTCCTGCCTTTCCCATCTCCTCATTGGTTTTTAGGAGCATCTACCCACATGGGCGATTGAAAGACACACTCCAGTCCAGTTGGTGGTGGTAATGCACCTTTTAAAGTTGGTTGACAAACGCAATATAAAGTTCGAAGAAGAAGAAGCCAGAAGGAAGAGAGATTACTAGAAAACAAGTTTTATCTGTCGATTAATTGTCGGAGTAGAGGACCTTGTGCATTTCAGGTAAAATAACAACCCAATGTTTATATCCCAGGACAAATTAGCTACTAACAGCAAGCTAGCTAGCTAAATTGCCATAAATGTTTAATGCTTTTCGACCTGTCCCCAAATTAATATAGTTGGTTCAGAGTTCATTTTGATATTTTAACCTGCGTGTACTGATCGTGTCTGGTGTGGGTGGATAAAATCAACATGCGCACGATGGCGCACGCGGACGCACTCACGCGCCCTGGCTAGTCAGCATGTCACCAACGCTCTAGATAACATGAAGAGTCTAACCTATTATGCTAGGGCGAGTAAAATGGTCAGTGAGGTGTTCTCTCATTTGTGTCTGGAAGTAGCTAGCAAGCTAGCCAACTTTAGCCAGTTAGCTTGGGTGCTTGACTGCCATTGTGAGGTCAGAAGACTCATATCAACCCTACTCCTCGGCCAGAGCGTCCAGTGTGCACTCTGAACACTCCGAGACTGAGAGCGAAATGCTCTGAATTTACGAACTGACAATCTGACAATGCTCTGAATATATGAACACCCAGAGTGCACTCTGGCACTTCAGAGTGAATTTACTCAAACACACACACTATTGGAATTTGCCCTGGGCTTCACAAGAACAACATAAAACATTTTAAACAGCAGCCAACTACACAGTGCTAGGTCACTTTTAGGAAAGAAGAAGTGTATTATGGGTATGGTTAAGCCCACCTGGCATGACCACCTTGTAGCAGGCCTGGCACCGGTTGCCATCCTCGCGGGAGCCACACTTGCCACACATGATCTTGCCGTCGTCCCTGGCGCTGAAGGGCTCGTTAGCCAGGGGCTTGTAGCACTTGGCACAGCGGAAGCAGTCCTCGTGCCAGTGACGGTTCTTATGGTTAAGCTCCTGGACAGAGTGGAGGAGGGAGGGAGAAGCGTGAGATGCATTCATTCACATGGGCTTCATACACACCTCATCAAACTGAGGCTCTTTCCCCAATCATTTGTTGGCGACGGTATTCAGAGGTGTTAACCAGGAAACAGAGTATGTCCTTCTGGAAAGCATTAGTGTAGATTAAGTGAATTTGAGTGCAGCATAGCATGAAGGGACTGACCGCCAATATGGGGTAGACACTAATCATGGTGAAACAATGTGAATGGTATAATACTTCAGGGTTCGTTAGCAATGATAGTGTCTATAACACAAGTAAGTATCTGTGACTGAATGCTGACTATTATGTTGTGGAAGCTGCTGCCCAAGGATCAGGTCGACACCTGTCCATTTAATCATATACGTTATGATCTAAAAGGCAAAACTGATCTTATATCAGCACTCCTACTCTGAGAGACCTTGTGCATACGGGCCCAGATATGTAACACTGGCCTTAATCTAGACATATGAACTGAAGCCAATCAGCTTTATGAACACACATACACACACTTCAGGGCACACACACACACTCACAAGGACATACACAATACCCACCTTGGCATCAGCCCCAATGGGGCGACGGCATTCTGCGCAGGTGTTGGCACAGAGCTTTTCGAAGCACTTTGTACACACGTGCTTCTCATCCTTCATCACATACTTCTTCCCAAGCAGGTTGTCACGGCAATAGTAGCAGTCAAAGCGTTCAGTCATGGTGGAAGTAGAATAGCTCCTCGGCCCTGTATGAACACAAACAACAATCACATTTACTATTGGGGAAGAAGTCATATATACATGAATCACTCATTTAATTAATTGAGGAATCAATTGACAAGTAAGCAGATTTATTGGAACTAAACTGTCATACACATTAAATGTCTCAGAGTCACCTTAGGGCTACAGTGTAGATTACACTTTGAGTCAGCATCACTACAGACTAGATCTCAATACAAATGTAGGATCTTAATTTGAGGCAGTTTGCTACAGCAGGAAAATAATCCTGCAGCAACAGGAAATGTGGATTATAATTAATGCCACTTTTTAGTAAGGGTTGATAGATTTTTCTTTAATGAAAATCAATTCTGAAATGTCAAAGTAGAAATTACAAACTCCTGCAACAGGGTGATCAAATTTAAGATCCAACATCTGTATGGTCCCTGTGGGCCTGCAAAATACATCCAAGTACTTATGTAATACCTATATGATTTATGTAATACCTGTAAGTCATCATACAATGGGTTATTCATATCAGTCTTATGCTGCTATTATGTCATTCCTATTTCTATTTATCGTCTGTTTATGTTCTACCATATGTTATTTTTAGAATTACATTGTTATTGATTACTGCACTGTTGGGGTTAGAGCTTGCAATAAAAGCATTTTACTGTACTTGTGCACGTGACATTAAAACTTGAAATTGAAACTAGTTCCTCAGCCGTCTTCAATGCATGCACCCAGACCTGAATAATGACTCCGGGCCCTCCAAACGTCCTCACACTGCCATTAACACACACACACACACCCTGTCATGTTGATAAAACATGGCCCTGTCTAGCAGGCACCCAGACACACAAAACCTATCCATCATCCAAGCTAAGAAAAATACATGTTCAAGCTGGCATCCCAGTACGAGACCTGTCCTCTAATCAGACCCAGCCAGGCAAGGGGCTTAGCACCGGCATGCCAAACGGCTGAGGGAAGTGTGTGGAAAATTGCTGCCGAAAACGACCCACAGATGTCTGGCTGTGAACAGAGCTTTAGCGTGTAGTCATCACGCTGTGTCTAACTCGGCCCTGCAGGGGTTGGCTGACTTTATCAGGCTTTGTTGGAAAGTTTAGGTCATATTTTTAGAGTGCCTGGCTCATTCAGTCCACCACACCCCATCCAACCTCTCTGCCGTTGTCTCCTTTTTGGCAGCGTCATTTAATTGGCTGTTAGTGTAAACAAAACCGTCCCCTGTTCCTCTCATTAACATTCCGAAATTCCCATCACAACGGGCAGCACGGACGGATCATCCGTCAGGATAAGACCTACAGTGTTGGGGACGCTCCTCTGAAAATATAGTTTACCAAGCTACCAATTACTTCACACTGGAAGAAGTTAAGCTACACTAAAGCTACCCTTAAGAAAAATACGGTTTACTTAACTAAAGTTACCTTGAAAAAGTAGTTCACTACAGCCAAACTACTTTGTGAAAGATTATCATATGTAAATCTGAAATGTCATAGAATACAAATTGCAAGACAGATCCCTTTGGGGTCATATGTTTACAGAATGTGTAAATTAGCCCATTCAATACAAAAACGATGTTTCAAGTGAGAATTAGCTAGGTCTGATGCTGGAAAATAATGTAAATTATTGCCTCTTCACCCATATTTTCTCTGCGTTTTGCAAAAAAAAGTAGTGTGTAGTTCCAGTAGTAAGCAATTAACTAGTGAAAACACTACCTAGATTTTATTTAGTTCTACTACCACCAAGCTACTGCGGAAATTAGTTAAATTACTATTTGAACTACATGTAGTTCACTACTCCCCAACACTGCCCTTAGGAAAAATATTGCAGTCAGAGTGCAGTATAACTGCAGTACACTGCAGTATAACTGTAATTAGAGTGCAGTATAACTACAGTATGCTACAAATACTGCGTCCAAAATAACACTGTTTTTTTACTGCAGTAATTTTGCAGTGTAACTGAAGTTAGAGTGCAGTATAACTGCAGTTCAACTGCAGTACACTGCAGTTATTCTGCAATTACTGCGTCCAAAATAGCACAGTCGACTTGATTGGTTGTGTTCTATGGCCTCCCTGGAATGAACCATGCTCTTTCAGCCTTTCAATGACCTATGTGTCATCGTGATCATCTTGATTGTCAGTGTCATGCACTTGCAAGCCTCCTACATGTCGCCATAGATGGGTTAGCTGACAACGTCCCGAAAACAATTTGCGCGCTTCCATGGGGCAGAAGTCAGCGTGTTGTTGTGATTCTGGATGGACAGATTGCTAGCAAGAATGACAAGAAACTGCCATGTTGGGAATCGTAAGTGACTCGTTTAAACTAGTTTCATCTTGTTCTTGATACCATGTCTTGTTTTGACTGATTTCATGTCAATGCTAATATGGCTAAAATATGCTAGCTGCCTAACTAACAACTGTAAGAATGTATTTGAGCGAGAAGTGCTAATTGTGCAAATGTATTTATGTTTTCAATAAACATTGGAGACAAAATATAGTTTACATGTTGTCAACAATCTAAGCCAACCCTGTCTATTTTGCCCCATAGTTGTGTCAGTTTTGTTGCTAAACAACCAACCCATCTATACACACTAGAGAGGAACACACTATAATCTAGATTATGCCAAAACTACCAAATCTCAATCAGGGTGGATCACTTTGGTGGGGTTAGCCGTTTGGGAGCCATGACGAAAATATCTCTGATTTATGAGACAACAGATGTGATATTATTGTGAGCGCTCAAGTATCTTAATCCTTTTTAATACAATGAGAGCAATGGGGGGAAATACTCATGATGGAATGACAATATATCCTGGTAGCCATGGGAACACTGCAAATATTTACGAAAGCCAATTGGTGCTCTTCGAGTGGCCTGGGGATGTGGTCAACAGTGAGTGTGGTGAACTGAACGGGATGAGTTAGAGGAGCTGTGGTATGTGCTCTCTCCCAGCTGTAGTGTCCAGTGAGGATGAATGGATTACATTTACATTTTAGTCATTTAGCAGAGTGACTACTAGAGAGGGGAAAGAGAGAGGCCCGTCTTCACAGGAGGCAGCCTGGTTTAAGCCCCTATACTGAGCCACCGGTGAGTCATCCCCATTCTTATCTCGTGGTACGAGCCAGTCCAACAGAATCCAACTGGCAGGACCGGATCAATGGCTAGAATAGAGGCAGTAGGGTAGCAAGGTATCACAGTCTCAGAATTAGTTAACCATGCATTCCATTCTGAGTGTGTAAGCACTGTGCCCTTATGGCAGGGACATCTAGGCCCACAAAGTCAGAGGAGTGACTTTTGAGGACACTGTGGATGCAACTGTGCCACAGTGACCATTGTGGGTCTAGATGTGCCTAATAAAAGACCACTGTGATTAAGCGCTAAGCCTTTCAGCTACTGCCAATCACACAGCTGCCTCCACAGAAACAGCCCTGGTATGCACCAGCACTCTTTGTAGGATGGGTTGGAGTATACCACTTTGGTCCCTGGGGTGGGGGAACCACTTTACAATGGAAAGATCAGAGTAAGAGTACAGTGAGTGGTGAACCAGGATGGTGCCAGGGATAGCCTCACAGAGCCTGGCTCTCATCAACATTGATCACTGATGGCTTACTGATGGCAGATCAAAGCCAAACGGACCCCAGAGAGAGGGTTATGGAGGTCCGTAAGATCAACTGCTACAGTGCCTTTAGAAAGTATTCACACCCCCTGACTTTTTCCACATGTTGTTGCGTGACAGCCTGGATATAACATGTATTAAATTGATCTACACATAATACCCCATAATGTCAAAGTGGAATTCTGATTTTAGAAATGTGTACAAAAATTCTTTTTTATGAAAAGCTGAAATGTCTTGAGTCAATAAGTATTCAACCCCTTTGTTATGGCAAGCCTAAATAAGTTCAGGAGTAAACATTTAGGTTAACAAATCACACACACTGTGTGCAATAATAGTGGTTAACCAGATTTTTGAATGACTACCCCATCTTTGTACCCCACACATACAATTATCTGTAAGGTCCCGCAGTTGAGTATCAAATTTCAAGCACAGATTCAAACAGATTCAATGCCTCAGAAAGAAGGGAGATTTTTTTTTTTTATGACACTGAATATCCCTTTGAGCACGGACGGTGAAGTTATTATTTAGGCTTTGGATGTTGTATCAATACACCCAGTCAATACAAAGATATAGGCGTCCTTCCTAACTCAGTTGCCGGAGAGGAAGAAAAGCCGCTCAGGGATCTCACCATGAGGCCAATGATGATTTTAAAACAGTTACAGAGTTTTATGGCTGTGATAGGAGAAAACTGAGGATGGATCAATAACATTGTAGTTACTTCAAAATACTAACCTAAATGACAGAATGAAAATAAGGAAGCTTGTACAGAATACAAAATATTCCAAAACATGCATCCTGTTTGGCAACAAGGTACTCAAGTAATAATGCAAAAAGAAATAGGCAAAGGAATTAACTTTTTGTTCTGAATACAAAGTGTTATGTTTGGGGCAAACACAACACATCACTGGGTACCACTCTACAAATTATCAAGCATGGAGGTGGCTGCATTATGTTATGAGTATGCTTGTCATCGGCAAGTAATAAACTGAATGTAGCTAAGAACAAGCAAAATCCTAGAGGAAAACCTGGTTCAGTCTGATTTCCAACAGACACTCAGAGATGAATTCATCTTTAAGCAGGACAATAACCCTAAAACACAAGGCCAAATCTACACTACAGTTGCTTACCAAGATAACATTGAATGTTCTTGAGTGGCCTAGCTACAGTTTTGACTTAAATCTGCTTGAAAATCTCTGGCAAGACTTGAAAATGGCTGGCTAGCAATGATCAACAACCAACTTGACAGAGCTTAAAAATAATATTGGGCAAATATTGCACAATCCAGGTGTGTAAAGCTCTTAGAGACGTACCCAGAAAGACTCACAGCTGTTATCGCTGCCAAAGGTGTTTCTAACATGTATTGACATAGGGGGGTGAATTCTTATCTAATCAAGATATATTAGCGGGGGTTTTAATGTTAAATTTTTTCTTCCAATTTGACATTAGAGTATTTTGTGTAGATTGTTGAAAAAAAAATGACAATTAAATACATTTTAACCCTACTTTGTAACACATCAAAAAAAGTCAAGTGGAAAAAGTCAAGGGGTCTGAGTACTTTCTGAAGGCACTGTATGTATAGGATCTACCATGTGATATCTCTGTCTGACTTGAAATGTACCCATTAAATATTGAATGAATCATCTTTCATCCACTACTGACAGCCTAAAGTATGCTGTCCCAAGGACTTAATTTCCACGATACAGATGCATCAATCCAGCTGTAAATAGCATTGCCTTAAAAAAGGTAAAACTGTCGCTTTTCTCCAGAAAAATGGTTGCTCCCTTTGTGGTGTCATAAGACCTTAGCTTCCTTTCCACCAAAAATACAATCATTAGAAAATGAACTCCAGAGTAGTGGTTCCCCACAAAATGTCCATTCTGACCCACCAAACATACTAGCCAATGCCCAAGAGGAACTTCCCACAACCTACCAGCCAGTGTCTTTGACCGAACTTGAGAAAATCTCCCCAAACCAAACCACCAGCACTAGGTATCAGTAATGGATTGAACCCATATGAACAAGACAAGCATCCATCACAATGCAACCCCACACTACATCAGCCTATTTCTTTAGCTACCTGAAAGTCTGTAAGCCATGTTTAGGTCCAGGAAAGGAGAGGAGAAAGACAGATCCAAGGACCGGAGGAGAGAGTAGCATCCACACAGGGAGAAAGGAGAACACCACACACCCCACCAAGGTATGGGTTATATATACACCCCCTCTAACACACAGCCTGGGCGTCAGGCTGTGTGTTAGAGGGGGTGTATATATGGGGGGGGGGGGGGGGGGGGGGGGGGGGGGCAGGCAGAGGGGGAGATGGACAGAGAAAGCCAATTCCATGGCTGTGACATCAGAGGCAACAGATGGACATCAGGTGGGAGATGGACAGAGAAAGCCAATTCAGAGGCAACAGATACCCCCACTGCCCCCTATCTTATTTTTTATATATAATATTTACACTATACAGTGGGGGAAAAAAGTATTTAGTCAGCCACCAATTGTGCAAGTTCTCCCACTTAAAAAATGAGAGAGGCCTGTCATTTTCATCATAGGTACATGTCAACTATGACAGACAAAATAAGAAAAAAAAATCCAGAAAATCACATTGTAGGATTTTTTTATAAATGTATTTGCAAATTATGGTGGAAAATAAGTATTTGGTCAATAACAAAAGTTTCTCAATACTTTGTTATATACCCTTTGTTGGCAATGACACAGGTCAAACGTTTTCTGTAAGTCTTCACAAGGTTTTCACACACTGTTGCTGGTATTTTGGCCCATTCCTCCATGCAGATCTCCTCTAGAGCAGTGATGTTTTGGGGCTGTCGCTGGACTTTCAACTCCCTCCAAAGATTTTCTATGGGGTTGAGATCTGGAGACTGGCTAGGCCACTCCAGGACCTTGAAATGCTTCTTACGAAGCCACTCCTTCGTTGCCCGGGCGGTGTGTTTGGGATCATTGTCATGCTGAAAGACCCAGCCACGTTTCATCTTCAATGCCCTTGCTGATGGAAGGAGGTTTTCACTCAAAATCTCACAATACATGGCCCCATTCATTCTTTCCTTTACACGGATCAGTCGTCCTGGTCCCTTTGCAGAAAAACAGCCCCAAAGCATGATGTTTCCACCCCCATGCTTCACAGTAGGTATGGTGTTCTTTGGATGCAACTCAGCATTCTTTGTCCTCCAAACACAACGAGTTGAGTTTTTACCAAAAAGTTATATTTTGGTTTCATCTGACCATATGACATTCTCCCAATCCTCTTCTGGATCATCCAAATGCACTCTAGCAAACTTCAGACGGGCCTGGACATGTACTGGCTTAAGCAGGGGGACACGTCTGGCACTGCAGGATTTGAGTCCCTGGCGGCGTAGTGTGTTACTGATGGTAGGCTTTGTTACTTTGGTCCCAGCTCTCTGCAGGTCATTCACTAGGTCCCCCCGTGTGGTTCTGGGATTTTTGCTCACCGTTCTTGTGATCATTTTGACCCCACAGGGTGAGATCTTGCGTGGAGCCCCAGATCGAGGGAGATTATCAGTGGTCTTGTATGTCTTCCATTTCCTAATAATTGCTCCCACAGTTGATTTCTTCAAACCAAGCTGCTTACCTATTGCAGATTCAGTCTTCCCAGCCTGGTGCAGGTCTACAATTTTGTTTCTGGTGTCCTTTGACAGCTCTTTGGTCTTGGCCATAGTGGAGTTTGGAGTGTGACTGTTTGAGGTTGTGGACAGGTGTCTTTTATACTGATAACAAGTTCAAACAGGTGCCATTAATACAGGTAACGAGTGGAGGACAGAGGAGCCTCTTAAAGAAGAAGTTACAGGTCTGTGAGAGCCAGAAATCTGGCTTGTTTGTAGGTGACCAAATACTTATTTTCCACCATAATTTGAAAATAAATAAATTAAATAACCTACAATGTGATTTTCTGGATTTTTTTTTCTCAATTTGTCTGTCATAGTTGACGTGTACCTATGATGAAAATTACAGGCCTCTCTCATCTTTTTAAGTGGGAGAACTTGCACAATTGGTGGCTGACTAAATACTTTTTTCCCCACTATATATATTAACATTAAGACAATGGCTGAGAGAGTGCAACACTGCAACCGACCAGGAATTTGACATCATCACTCAGTGAAAGTGCTAAAAGACATTGTGCAAACAGTGTATTAATCAAGCCATAATTTATGGTTCGTTTGTTTAGTAACACTGTTTATATTACCATAAACACTTAGTGTGTGTGTGCAAGCGTATGTGTGCATGTTGCGTCTGCGCGTGTCTGTGCGTGCGTTTGTGTGTGTATGTTTTTACATAACCAGATTGTGTGCTAAAAACTAACTCTCGGGTCTGCATACCCACATCGATACCCACACATGCAGTCAATGGATTTGTGCAATCAATATAACTCTCTTAACTAAATGCATGATCAATTAATAGTATTGGAAGGATCCTGCTTGATTCTGTAAGTAGAATTGTTTTAACTTGTAAACTGTGTTGGTTCTGTCTGTCTGTCATAGTTAGTAAGCTACCCAGTCTGCTTAAGAAGCGATTGCTACCCATTCACACTGGACGCAGGTCCAGCCACTTCTTTTGTTCTCTGCAGATTACAACTCAATAGGAGAGGGAGTGGCTATACTTGTGCTAGGCAATTAGCTTAGTGTTATTAGCACAACCTATTTGTCCAGCTGTCTGCGGCAGCTGTCCCCAAAACGAAGACTGTTCCTGAAACAAAGACAGTTCTGCCAAGTTGTTCTGCGTGAGTTAGTCGAGGGAGGCCCCGCTCTCTCGCTTCCCCAGATGTTTAGTTAATTTCATTCCAATCTCTTTTGCATTATTGTAGCCTTTGCTGTAGCCTGTAAACTATGTGTCTGTCTATCCCTGTTCTCTCCTCTCTGCACAGGCCATACAAACGCTTCACACCGCGTGGCTGCTACCACTCTAATCTGTTGGTCCCTGCACGCACAACCCACGTGGAGTTCCAGGTCTCCGGCAGCCTCTGGAACTGCCGTTCTGCGGCCAACAAGGCAGAGTTAATCTCAGCCTATGCTACCCTCCAGTCTCTCGACTTCTTGGCACTGACGGAAACATGGATTACCACAGAAAACACTGCTACTCCTACTGCTCTTTCCTCATCTGATCATGTGTTCTCGCATACCCCGAGAGCATCTGGTCAGCGCGGCGGTGGCACAGGAATCCTCATCTCTCCCAAGTGGACATTCGCTCTTTTCCCCCTGACCCATCTGTCTATCTCCTCATTTGAATTCCATCCTGTCACAGTCACTAGCCCATTCAAGCTTAACATCCTTGTCATTTATCGCCCTCCAGGTTCGCTTGGAGAGTTCATCAATGAGCTTGACGCCTTGATAAGTTCCTTTCCTGAGGATGGCTCACCCCTCACAGTTCTGGGTGACTTTAACCTGCCGACGTCTGCCTTCGACTCATTTCTCTCTGCCTCATTCTTTCCACTCCTTTCCTCTTTTGACCTCACCCTCTCACCCCCCCCTACTCACAAGGCAGGCAATACGCTTGACCTCATCTTTACTAGATGCTGTTCTTCTACTAATCTCACTGCAACTCCCCTCCAAGTCTCTGACCACTACTTTGTATCCTTTTCTCTCTCGCTCTCCTCCAACACTACTCACTCTGCCCGTACTCAGATGGTAATGCGCCATCGCAACCTTCTCTCTCTCTCTCCCGCTACTCTCTCCTCTTCCATCCTATCATCTCTTCCCTTTGCTAAATCCTTCTCCCTCCGATCTCCTGATTCTGCCTCCTCAACCCTCCTCTCCTCCCTTTCTGCATTTTTGACTCTCTATGTCCCCTATCCTTCCGGCCGGCTCGGTCCTCCCCTCCTGCTCCGTGGCTTGATGACTCATTGCGAGCTCACAGGACAGGGCTCCGGGCAGCCGAGCGGAAATGGAGGAAAACTAGACTCCCTGCGGACCTGTCATCTTTTCACTCCCTCCTCTCTACTTTTTCTTCTTCTGTTTCTGCTGCTAAAGCCTCTTCCTACCACTCTAAATGTCAAGCATCTGCCTCTAACCCTAGGAAGCTCTTTGCCACCTTCTCCTCCCTGCTGAATCCTCCTCCCCCTCCCTCCTCCCACTCTGTGGATGACTTTGTCAACCATTTTGAAAAGAAGGTTGATGACATCCGATCCTCATTTATTAAGTCAAATGACACCGCTGGTCCTGCTCACACTGCCCTACCCTATGCTTTGACTTCTTTCTCCCCTCTCTCTCCAGATGAAATCTTGCGACTTGTGACGGCCGGCCGCCCAACAACCTGCCCGCTTGACCCTATCCCCTCCTCTCTTCTCCAGACCATTTCCAGAGACCTTCTCCCTTACCTCACCTTGCTCATCAACTCATCCTTGACCGCTGGCTATGTCCCTTCCGTCTTCAAGAGGGCGAGAGTTGCACCCCTCCTCAAAAAACCTACACTCGATCCCTCCGATGTCAACAACTACAGACCAGTATCCCTTCTTTCTTTTCTCTCCAAAACTCTTGAGCGTGCCGTCTCTAGCCAACTCTCCTGCTATCTCTCTCAGAATTACCTTCTTGATCATAACCAGTCAGGTTTCAAGACTGGTCATTCAACTGAGACTGCTCTTCTCTGTGTCACGGAGGCTCTCCGCACTGCCAAAGCTAACTCTCTCTCCTCTGCTCTTATCCTTCTAGACCTATCTGCTGCCTTTGATACTGTGAACCATCAGATCCTCCTTTCCACCCTCTCCGAGTTGGGCATCTCCGGCACTGCTCACTCTTGGATTGCGTCTTACCTGACAGGTCGCTCCTACCAGGTGGCGTGGCGAGAATCTGTCTCCGCACCACATGTTCTCACCACTGGTGTAACCCCAGGGCTCAGTTCTAGGCCCTCTCTTATTCTCTCTATACACCAAGTCACATGGTCTCTCCTATCATTGCTACGCAGACGACACACAATTAATTTTATCCTTTCCCCCTTCAGATAACCAGGTGGCGAATCGCATCTCTGCATGTCTGGCAGACATATCAGTGTGGATGTCGGATCACCACCTCAAGCTGAACCTCGGCAAGACGGAGCTGCTCTTCCTCCCAGGGGAAGGACTGCCCGCTCCATGATCTCATCATCACAGTTGACAACTCCATTGTGTCCTCCTCCCAGAGTGCAAAGAACCTTGGCGTGACCCTGGACAACACCCTGTCATTCTCCGCTAACATCAAAGCGGTGACCCGATCCTGCAGGTTCATGCT